AACATAAAAAAATAGCTATTTGGAAGAAAATTACTGAATGAAAATTACAATATCTCATTCCTTAAAAGAACGATATTCAAAGCGTTGACGGCTGTTCTTGAGTGCTACTAAAACTCTTAGGAGAAATACATGTACAGTTGCTTCTTCTCGAGTGCTGCTACTAAAAATCTTCAGAGAAATACGTGTACAGTCGCTTGCTTGTTTTTGAGTGCCACTATTTTTCTTCAGAGGAATACATATACAGTTGGCTGTTTTTGAGTGCTACTAAAACTTATGAGAAAACATGTATATGTGGCTGTCCTTGAATGCTACTAAAACTTTTCAAAGAATACATTTACGATTAGCTTTTCTTGAGCACGATTAAAAATTCAGGGAAATACATGTACAGTTGGCTTTTCTTCAGCGCTACTAAAACGCTAGAGAAATACATGTACAGTTGGCTTTTCTTCAGCGCTATTAAACGCTAGAGTAATACGTGTACAGTTGATTTTTCTTCAGCACTACTAAAACGCTAGAGAAATACGTGTACAGTTGGCTTTTCTTCAGCGTTACTAAAACGCTAGAGTAATACGTGTACAGTTGGCTTTTCTTCAGCGATACTAAAACGCTAGAGTAATACGTGTACAGTTGATTTTTCTTCAGCACTACTAAAACGCTAGAGAAATACGTGTACAGTTGACTTTTCTTCAGCGCTATTAAAACGCTAGAGAAATACGTGTACAGTTGATTTTTCTTCAGCTCTACTAAAACGCTAGAGAAATACGTGTACAGTTGATGTTTCTTCAGCGCTACTAAAACGCTAGAGAAATACGTGTACAGTTGATTTTTCTTCAGCGCTACTAAAATGCTAGAGAAATACATGTACAGTTGGCTTTTCTTCAGCGATACTAAAACGCTAGAGAAATACATGTACAGTTGGCTTTTCTTCAGCACTACTAAAACGCTAGAGAAATACGTGTACAGTTAGCTTTTCTTCAGCGCTACTAAAACGCTAGAGTAATACGTGTACAGTTGATTTTTCTTCAGCACTACTAAAACGCTAGAGAAATACGTGTACAGTAGATTTTTCTTCAGCGCTACTAAAACGCTAGAGAAATACGTGTACAGTTAATTTTCTTCAGCGCTATTAAAACGCTAGAGAAATACGTGTACAGTTGATTTTTCTTCAGCACTACTAAAACGCTAGAGAAATACGTGTACAGTTGATTTTTCTTCAGCACTACTAAAACGCTAGAGAAATACGTGTACAGTTGATTTTTCTTCAGCGCTATTAAAACGCTAGAGAAATACGTGTACAGTTGATTTTCTTCAGCGCTACCAGAACTTTAGAAATAGCTGAGTACATGTTTGGCGGTATTTAGTCCGAAATATTTGATGGCAGAGATTTTCTCTTAAAGATAAAGATAATCTCCTCAAAAATGTTTTAAAAAATAAGTAATAAAGAAAGATCAAGGTTTCCATATCTGTTTGTGCCTGTGTATTCTTTTGAGTTACACTATAATATGTATTTTGTCCAAAAGTAAGTGAAAAGGGGTCAATTTTTACTTTTTAACTGGTTAGAATTGCAATCAAGTCACGTATCAGTCCAACATTAACTCAAGTTAGCAATTTAGTTTCTGAACATTGATTTCGCCAAGTGATTAATTTCTAACCGATCTCTCCAGATCTGAAATCCGAAGCATATTTTGTGTGTGTGTGTGTGACGTTTTTATATAACCTAAAGGCAGAAATGCTATACTTGATTGTAGAACTGCCTCTGTAGCATTACGAATTGCTATTTGGCTTTAGTATTCAACTACACCAATCCCCCCCCCCCCAGCCTTTTCCCAAATAATACACTCGTTTAAGCTGTTATCTTCCAAAACTCAATATTTTCCCCAAACCCGTCAACGGGGTTTCAATATTTTTTTTCTTTGCCTATACTAATTCTAGCGTCTTGCCGTTTTAATAAAGAACCGCTGATCTGGTGCTATATTATTGAAATTATATCCAAGTTACCCTGGTGGTTTACTATTGAAATTATGTTCAAGTGGCTTATATATGTTTAGTTTCTACTCACAGGAAATTTATCTTTCGTAAAGTTTTAATAATCCATTGAAATCCACTTTCTACACAGAAGTATAGGTATTTTTATTTTGAAACTAAATTATAAATTCAATTGTAATATATTAAATTATACATAAAAGAAATTTAATATTTTACGCAAAATATTTAGCTGTAACCCTTAATGGTTAAAATGCCAGAAAAAATAATGTTTTAACTTGATATAACTTATTTTTTATAATGACATATGAGATTTAGAACGGTTCAGTCTGTATGATCATTAAAATTGGTATGTGATGTTGTGGATGAAAGTAATTACATTATTATATTTCCTTATCCAGACTTTTACTAACAACACCAAGATAATGTGCAACTAATAATCGCCTTGCAGATATTAACAGCTCAGTTAACAAGGTTATACTATACTTGTCAATGCTATTTCTCCACAATGTTTGGAATGAAACTACGAAATTATCTGTTACTTATGATCATATGACATTTTGTATTGGATACTTTTGTAAATGTATGTGTATTTCCATGTATGTTATAGTTACTTTGTAATAAATAATATAAGTAACAATGCATAATCATGATCTCCATAACAATAAATAACTAGCTGTTTCGTGGCGCTATCTATCATCAGTGCAATACTAGGCCTTATAGTAAAAATACGTATTCCCAAAACATTGTTTGTTTGTTTATTTTTAAACACAAAACTACACAATGGGCTATCCATGATGTACCTACCGCAAGGATTGAACTCCGAATTTAAGCATTATAAATCCTCAAGCTTATCTTTGAGCCACCGGGAGAATTTACTAAAGATATAAAGAGTTTTATATAAGAAACTGTCAATGTTTTCTTTTCATCCTATCAGTCGTGCTGTCATAATTTATAACGAATTTAAACCAAGCTTATCTTAAAGAATATAAGCTGGAAAGCGCATTAGTACAACTTGGTAACATAACGTTAAAGACATTTCTTTCATTGATTAATTTTGTATTAGATAATACGTTTAACATTTTTGTGAAAGCTCTTTTAATATATATTTTTTCTCCAGTGGTATTTAGCTGGGTACTCGGTATTTTGATGCCAGCAGTGAGCAGAGCACAGAGAGCTCATTGTGTAACAACAGTGCTACGTATCTTTGGGTTTTACACTTTGAAGGCAAAAAGTTATATTTTACTGAATGTTGAAACTTGTAAATTTAGTAACGAAAACAAATCTGTATAAGTAACAACAATCATTTTCTTTAGCATAAAAGCTACGAACTGGCTATAAGCTGAAAGATTGAAATATCAAAGATGTCATAACTTTAAAAGTAATTTACGATTTGAGAGCGCCACACAGTTATCCCGAATGATAACGTAATTTCCGTGGTGAAATTGACAACACTACCATTGAAGGCTTTGGTTATTTATTTTGTCTTTAAAATTAAGATGTGAAAGGACAACACTGCTTACTCCTGTACAGTAGTCACATTGAACGTGAGTTACAGTGCTATCATTTGGATTACCACATGTGAAAATGACATGGTGAAGATCCATTTGATTACTTTTATAAACGATCGTTTCTCATTCCATTATTTGTGGATATATAATTCTAATCCATGAATATTTGGATAAATCTGGCGTATATGTGATTTAATTATGGTATTTTGAATTGTTGTTACCAATAGGTAATAAAGATTGTGGCTAATAAGAAGTTTTTCTCATTTCGAAGCTTTTCATGCTAACTTAGCCTCCTTTACTTACAGATATATGCATATAAGTGAAACTAAAACATCGTACATAAAGGATAGACAAATAAAACTGGTACAAACACAATGTGAGAACGACGAAATACAACTACTTTAGAATATATCAAAATTTCAATACTTTAACTTTCACTACAGCTCTTCATAAGTGAACCACTTATTTCCACTGTAACTCCTGATAATATTCTACACGATGAGTGGTATTATTCAGTTTAAGTGAGGGTTTTAGTTTAAACACGTAAGTACTTTACAGATATTACCGGTTCTTCTTTGTACCAATAAGTGCGAGAGTGACTGCCTTTCAGAGATAAAAAATAAAATAAAAAATAAGAGGAGTTTCTATGAAGTTTCAAGCTAGTAAGAGGATAAAGTATTATTACTTGGACGTTGAAGTTTTTAAGGCACTGTTTACAAATTTTATGATCATCGTTATTGAAAGTATATTTTCAAAATAAATTATTTCAAATTTTAGCAAAATATACAGGGGAATTATTGTTGTAATAAAACATTTCTTATACTCACTAATAAGAAGTAAAGTCTTAAGATTCATTTGTCATTGGCAGGCAGATAACTATTAAAATATAATTTGACGTACACTTATGCTGCTGCCATCTATCGTAGAAAAGAGAATGCTTTTTAATTACATCTTTTTGAGTGTATTCGACAAAATGATATACGAAATTGTAATTGTGCACATCATTTGGAGTTTTATAGGCATTGTTACAGTTTTCATTAACTTTTTAGAGAGTTACTTAAAAAATTTAGTTTCTTTTTTTTTCACTAACAGTCGAGTATAAAATATTTTCCTAAAGCATTGATAAAACTATTCCACTAATCTCAATCAACTATTTTAAGCGATGTTTTAAGCTCTAGAAATTATAAAAGGTATTACTGTTTTTATGCTGTTATTAAGCGTACATTGTTTTAACAAATTAGATAATACTAAGGTGCTGTCTTGAAACTGTATTATACATATCAATAGTCCTATCAGTCAGATTTATTGATTTTTGTTTTATCAATATATATCTGGATATCTTCTGTCTTTCCTATGAACCTCGGCTTTAAATCGCTTTAACAAAAAATATTGTAATACTGATAGGTTTTATGATTCTGTTATCGTTATTATATGTGAAGTCTTAGACGTTTCTATTTGGTGTTCAGAGTCTAACGTTGTCAAGTAAAAAAGTATTTTTTTTTCCAGACAAAAATGAATAACCCAGACCATCAAAGTACCCCTCAAATGCAGAAAGGTAAGATCTTTAAGCTAACTTCTCCAGTCTCTTTTATGTCGAATGTAAAGGACAATTAAGCCGATTCACTAACTTTCTGTGCTTCGTGTTTACATTGTTATATACAGAAAGTTCTAACGTTACACCTTTAGCGTAAATAAGTGTGTTAATGTGTGCAGGAAAGGCCATACTGACCCTCAACGTTCATTGTAATGAACGTGATGGGTGTCAAAACCTGCCTGTTAGATGTTTCGTTTTTGTGACATAGGTGTGTGTGTTGTCAAGTTAAGGGGAAACGTGTGAGACTCCCTAACTGTAACAGGTTCCCACACACGTTTCACATTCTGTTTGAAAATCGTTCTCTGTTGACATTGCATAACTATGAGAAGCAAAAATCAACAATATAGCTATAAAAAACTACGTTTGAGCTGATATGTCGAGATGCTTTTGTATTTAATCTTTACACTATGTTCAAAATGCAGAAGGAGTGCGCAGTGCAGTATGTGAAAGCATGACTAAACATTAATAAATAATATTTGCAACACAAAAGTTACCAAATTTAAGAACTCAAAATTTCGGTCTTCTTTAATGTGAGCACAACAAACAGCGAATTTAATTTGAATAAATGTCTGATAGAGCTAATTATATAATGGGGAATTACGACACAATGTATTGATTAAGCGTTAGATACTACAGATATCTGATATTAATTACGTAGATTTACAGGCAACAGAAAAAAATTGTTGACCATCTAGCTACAGGTCCACTGAATCTGTACTTAAATATGTCAGATATCTGTGGTGCCAAGTTAAATAATCCAGATACTCAACGTCTAGAGTAGATTCACAGACATCAAACATATTGTTGATTAAATGTTTGCTGAATCTGTACTTAAATATATCAGATATCTGTGGTGCCTAGTTAATTAATCCAGATACTCAACGTCTAGAGTAGATTCACAGACATCAAACATATTGTTGATTAAATGTTTGCTGAATCTGTACTTAAATATATCAGATATCTGTGGTGCCAAGTTAATTAATCCAGATACTCAACGTCCAGAGTAGATTCACAGACATCAAACATATTGTTGGTTAAATGCTTGCTGAATCTGTACTTAAATATGTCAGATATCTGTGGTGCCAAGTTAATTAATCTGGATACTCAACGTCCAGAGTAGATTCACAGACATCAAACATATTGTTGGTTAAATGCTTGCTGAATCTGTACTTAAATATGTCAGATATCTGTGGTGCCAAGTTAATTAATCCAGATACTCAACGTCCAGAGTAGATTCACAGACATCAAACATATTGTTGGTTAAATGCTTGCTGAATCTGTACTTAAATATGTCAGATATCTGTGGTGCCAAGTTAATTAATTCAGACACTCAACGTCTAGAGTAGATTCACAGACATCCACACCATATTAGTGAAGTAGATTCTACGAATAATAATAATATTAAACGGGTTTAAAAATTATCTAGGAAACTGGATAAAATAGTTTTAGCATGTAGTTTGCATATTAATTAAGTAGCTTTCATGTAATTCAAACATATTAAGTATATTCAGCGAACATCTTGTCCATTAATTAATTATGGATGTTTAATATATCAGTCTAGATGTAGCGCATTATTTCTCTGATATTTAAGTATTTTTTAAAAGCATCTTGTATATTAATTAGCTAGGGTAGCAGATACCACCATATTAATTAAGAAGATTTCACAGATGCTGTGGTATTTTGATTAAGCGACTTCAATAAACATATGTAGGAATTAATTAACTAAGTTTATCGGGTATCTAATATATTATGCATAACGAAAAGTTTAACGCACGATCTACGAAGGTTTCTCTAGTACATCTCAAAAGATTATTCCCCAAACTCGATGTCACGCAAAATACTTAAACTATATACTCTAACTTTATTTGGTTTGATTTGTACCGGGTATTCTTGCAAAGCTAGAAGGAGATTATCTGCACTAATTGTCCCTAATTATAATATGATAGACGAAAGAGAAAGCAGCTAGTCAACAACACCCACTACCAACTTTTGGGATATTCTTTTTTCTAAACGAGTTTGTCTCTAATTATAAAATGATAGACGAAAGAGAAAGCAGCTAGTCAACAACACCCACTACCCACTTTTGGGATACTCTTTTTCTAAACGAGTTCGTCCCTAATTATAAAATGATAGACCATAGAGAAAGCAACTAGTGAACAACACCCACTACCAACTTTTGGGATACTCTTTTTCTAAACGAGTTCGTCCCTAATTATAAAATGATAGACCATAGAGAAAGCAACTAGTGAACAACACCCACTACCAACTTTTGAGATACTCTCTTTTTAACCGAGTAGTAGAATTTGATCGTCACTTTTATAACGCACCTACAACGCCAAATTGCAAAATGCAATTTTTTTTCTACAACAAAACGCGAGTCATTCAATTCACGGATCGATAATCCGACGCGCTAACCACTAGGCCACTCTTGCCCAAGCTTTATTTTTTAAGGAGCGAGGTTATTTATTGAATTAATTATTGATAACTTTAAAATTGTTTTTTTATATTTTTAATCCTCATATTACCGAATTGTTTTATAGCGTTCATTACCAGTGGGATCCACACATTGTATCTTACTGAGTAACTTGCTGTCTTTGCTGTTTCTGTCTATACTTGACCAAAAACATTGAGTAAAGTGGCTTATTTCGTATCTAAAATACACAGGAACATGGGCAGTAATTAGTGGGATTAATTATAGCATTGATGGTACTTTTATTAACTTTTTTGTGACTCATATGTTAAGGATACTGTAACCAACTTAGCGCTTAAATAGTTTAAAAGTGTGGGTCTAACTCCATCAGTAATTTTGAGTATAAATATTTGGTTGTCTGAATAGTTTCGTAAGTTATATGGTTGAAACAGGGTCTTTAGCCTAGATACATGCTAAAACCTACTGCTCTAAGAAACATCAATTTAATTAATATCCTTCAATTTCACTCATAGTGTAAAGCAGATGATAACGATATTTAAGTCGTGCTTCACCTGAACCTTCCTAACTTACCAATTTCAAAATGTCTTCATTTTACTAAAACACTATCAGAATCTTCTTTAGGCGCAAACTTAATATTTATAAAAAAGTGATGGAGAACAACTCCAATATGTTTTCTAGTTTATGTAGGAAATCCACGATTTAGAAGCTACATATTCTCGAGTTGTTGTTATATATATTTTTAGTAATAGACAGTTATTCTACCGTGAATTATCTATTTCTTGGGTTTTAATCTAACAACTTACATCAGGGGCTGAGTCCCAAACATGACGTTCTCTCACTCAACAGTCGACTTTTGTTTGAATATACACAGCACTGCATTTTCTTTTGTAATGATGCCACCTATCGTTCTTTATGCTATTTGTTTACGGTTTTTTATGTTGTCAAAATAACAATTAAAAAGTTATCTATAATATTTTAGAAACTCAGTTGATTATTAACTTATCATCTTATCTGTAGTGAAAACATTATATATATATATACATATGTATTTATACCAAAGCTATTTGTCAGCATTGTATCATTTGTATAAATCAAATACACGTGTGGCGTTTAATGGCGATTAAGTCTGAGACAACTAGGGTGACATAAAACATCCTGGTGAGTAAAGTCATGAAGTCATTAAATAATATATGTATGGGTGAGAGAAACTGGCAAACAAATTTATAGACATGACAGTTAAACATTTACAGGTAGATAGAGAACTACATTTATATGTTCCAAATGTATAAAAGAAGAAATAGATAGTTAATTAGACAATTAGATAGACAAATGAAAAAGAGAGAGAACAGCATAGAAGGAAAAAAGCGAGGTAGTTGGGAGAACGACCAGATAGACAGATGAATTAATATTTACATATAAGGGTTAACAGATGGGTAAATAACAAGTAGATACGAAGATAAACAGACAAATTGTTAGATGGAAGAGCTGATAGTGAAATAGACGTATAGCAGATATATAAACAGAATAATTGATAGATAGAAGAGCTGATAGTCAAATAGAAATATAGCAGCTATATAAATATAGTAACTGATAGATATATTTACTGAGAGTCAAACATTAGAATAGCAGATAGATAAAGAGACAAACTGATAGGTGGAAAGATTGGTAAACAGGGAAATGGATTGATAGAAGTATTATAGAACAAAAAACAATATTCCGTTGCTAGAGTCAGGTATGGATAATTCTCCTTGTAATAGAATGACGCAACTTAATATAACCTCAAATTATATAGTTTGTTAGATGTCAAACTGGTTTGAATTATGAAGCTTGAATAACAACCTTTGTTTTTTATTCAGACTCAAAAAGGATAGAGAAATCAAATAATCGTGAGAAGTCAGTACCCTCAACCGTCTATTGATGCTGATGAATAAGTTTCACATTTAGGAATGGTTATCAGACTCATTTACGCCCTGTCTCTTCCAGGAAACCTATAGCGAAGATTTATCTTATTATTTTGTGTTTTGTCATCCCATCCTTTTTTTTCTTCCTGCCCTTTAAAATTAATTTGGAATTCTTGCTCTTTAACGCTTGATGTAAATATTGGTCTGTTCTGATAAAAATCGGTCTACCGGTAAAATATAATTTTGGTGGCTTTATGAGCAAAATGGGAAAGTCCTAGGTTTATCCCAGGGTTAAGTCCTAGGTTTATCTTAACCTCCTGCCATTATTTGTCTGTCTTACGCTTTGTATAAACGAAAATAAGCAAATTTCATTGTAAGTTGGTTTACATGTATAAGATATCCTTTACCGGTTTTAGCCAGCTCAAAGGTCAAGGTAATTGTGTGCTCATTACGTGTAACATCCACAGACTGCTAGGACACCAGTTTCAACTGTCTAGACTTTCACTACACTCAACAACACTTTTATGCAGGTGAATGACTAGGTCATTGTGAGTATAATTTTTAAATCGAACAATTCTAGTTCCACTATAAAGTTTATTTTCTTAAGAAGGTAAGATTTTTCTGTCGAG